CTTCTTCTCCTGAGATACAGTACCCCAGATTAGGGCAGAGGGAGAAGGAAAGGCTGTGTGTGTGTCTATGGGTATCCTAAAGGACTTTAGTATTTTAAAGAAGACATTAAGCCACTACTCTAAGTCTGTATAGCTTTAAATAAACATTTCCTTTACTTTTCACAAATCTCTGGCATTGAAAGATGTCTTTCCTCTGGCGGCAGGCATAGCGAACCTAGTGAAGGGTCCTTTCAGTAATAGTATATCGTACACCCACCCCCCTTAAGTCTGTTCTGTAACAGAATTACTAGAAATCTAAATGGAAAGAAAAAACAAATATACAAGAAGTACAAAATCTGACACAGGTGGTTTTTGGTTTCCTACCCTAATATAGCAAAATAAACCAGGTTTTCATCCTAAGGAATGACAAGTCTGGCTACAGACAGGTTTGACAGGCAAAATTTATTGGGCACCCACCACTTTAGACCCAAGTGGTTTAAATACTAGGTCAGGCCTGTGTGAGACCCCAGACAGACAGACCCTTCTCAGTACTACCGTGGGACCTACTTCTGACCCTCTCTCCCCTGCTCTGCTCAGGCCCTGCTCAGGCTGTCCGGTCCCTGGACTCCTGGGTGAGAAAAGGCTTGCCCTTCTCTGGCCCCACCACTCCCCGGGGAGGTCTCGGGCTGAGCTGCCTGATCCTGCAGTGGCAGCTCTTGTCCCTCTGGGGCCTGTCTGGCTCTAGGCCCTGAAGCCCAAGTCCTGACTGCTGTTAACATTCTCTGACCTCCACTGAAGCTCAGTGTTTTCACCAGCACTTTAGGTTGGAACTTAAGTCTCCTAGAAACAGTCTTCTAACTGGGGTCACATGCTCTCTCATTTCCTGCCAGCTGTTCAGAAGTCTTGAAAGCGGGAAGTGCTGAGCTCTAGACATGTACCCGAGCACGGAAGGGGGCATAGCCACTTCTCTCAAAGACGCAGCAGCAGGGTTCTCAGGAACAGGGCTGGGGCTGGCCCACCAGACTCTCCCCCACTACTCCCCCCACCCACACTCCTTTAAGAAAGATTCAATGTGGAAGATTGAAAACTGAGGAGCCAGTCATTGGAAGGGAGGCGGCAGGAAGGAAGTGCCTCTAGTATTTCTCATGGCACCCAGGGGCCGCTCTGTGGCTTTGAGAAGCCACCTCCTTCACTATGCCAAGGCCTTGGCACCTGATTGTTGTCCCTGTCCTGTTCTCCAAGGCCCCTTTATCTCCCTACCTGATCCTCTTCTCTCCTGTTTCCATTCCAGTTCAGCTCACCCAGGTAGCCCCACTCTACATCCCCCGTTCCCCCGATGCTCTCTAAAGCAGTGGTCTTCACGGGGTTTTCTCCTGTGCTCCCTAAAGAAATTCTGGGTTCCGGCCAAGATGGAGGCGTAGGTAGATATACTTCGCCTCCTCGCACAACCGAAAGGACAACAAATTTAAAAACAAAAAATAACCACAACTGCCAGAAAAATCGAACTGTATGGAAGTACGACAACCAAGGAGCTAAAAAAGAAACATTCATCCAGACTGGTAGGAGGGGCAGAGATGGGCAGCTGAGGTGGAGAGGACATGTGGCAAGGCAGGGGCTGGAGGACCAGAGCAGGCAAGGCGGGGCTGGCAGGGTGAGCAGTCCCACATTTGCATGCGGGTAAACCAGGAGGAACAACTGGGGGACGAGGGAGACCACTGGACCCATGGTTCTAGCCCAGGAAAATAAAGCCTCAAAAGCTCTGACTGAAAAAATCGGTGCGGGTTAAGGTGGCAGGAGAAACTCCCAGCCTCACAGGAGAGTTCATTGGAGAGACCCACAGGGTCCTAGAATGTACACAAACCCTCCCACCCAGGTATCCACACCAGAAGGGCACAAGAGGCTCAGAGACAGAAAGAGAAAATGGGTATATAACATACTTTTTTAATTTAATTTTCTTAAAGATTTTATTTATTTATTTTTAGAGAGAGGAGAAGGGAAGGAGGGAAAAAAAAACCATCAATGTGTGGTTGCCTCTTGCGTACCCCCTACTGGGGACCTGGCCTGCAACCCAAGCATGTGCCCTGACTAGGAATTGACACTTGGTTCACAGGCTGGCACTCAATCCACTGAGCTATGCCAGCCAGGGCACATAGTCTTTTTTTTTTTTAAGATTTCATTTATTTATTTATTTTTAGAGAAAGGGGAGGGGAGGTAGAAAGAGGGAGAGAAACATCAACCTGCAAGAAATACATCGCAGCCCCCAGCTAGATGTCCGACCCACAACCCAGGTATGTGACCTGACTTAGAATCGAACCAGCAACCTTTCAATTCACAGATCAGCATTCAACCACTGAGCAACACCAGCCAGGGTGGATATATAACACATTCTGAGCTATGAATGAGGTAAGGTGCTTAGGGCCTTCAAAGGATGATAAGAAGAATAGATGTTTAGTAAATAGAAGTTTGTCCTGCCCTGTAAAGAAGTCAGAAGAGTCTACCTCTGATAATCTCTTATTATGAGCAAGGCTCCTAATTCAAGTTCTTCTGGGGAGTTAACGAAGAGGCAGAAGTTTCTCTTGAGCCCATGGCTGCAGTTGACTTTAGCTCAAAACAATACACACACCACGAGGCCACCTTGGGGTGGCTCATTCTGAACCCCAACAATACAACAACCAGACAGAAAATGAGTAAGGAAGCAGAGGACTTGGACAACACGACACACCAACGGGCCTGACAGACATATACGAACATTCTACCTCACAGCCCAGAATATACATACTTCTCAAGTACACGTGGAACATTCTCCAGAACAGGTCACATGTTAGGCTACAAACAAGTCTTTTTTTTTCTTTTTATCCTCACCCAAGGACTTTTTTTTATTGCTTTTAGACAGAGAGGAAGGAAGACAGAAAAACATCAATGCAGCCACTATGGAAAACAGTATGAAGTTTCTCAAAAATTCTAAAGTATAACTACCATATGACCCAGCAATTCCACTTCTGGGTACATATACAAAACAGTTGAAAACAGGATCTCAGAGACATGTCAACACTCCCATGTTTGCTGCAGCATTATCCACAATAACCAATATGTAGAACCAACCTAAATGTCTGTGGACAAATAAATGGATAAAGAAAATGTGGTCTATACATACAATAGAATACTATTTAGCCTTTTAAAAAAGGAAATTGTGTCATATGCGACAACATGGATAAAATTTGAGATTATGCTAAGTGAAATAAGCCAGTCAGGGGACAAATGCTGAGTGATTGCACTCGTGTGAAGTATCTAAAGTCCCCAAACTCACAGAAGCAGAAAGTAGAATGGTGGTTGCCAGAGGCTGGGGGAGGGGGATGGGGAGGTGTTGTTCAGTGGGCAGTTTCAGCCTTGCAAGATGAAAAAGTTCTGTGCATACAGCTAACAGTCCTGTAACGCACACTTAAAATGTGTTCAGGGTAGATTGTGATGTTTTTACCACAATTATTATATATATGTGTGTGTACATACATGCATGTGTGTGTATATACACACATACAGAGGGGGTTGGCAAAAGTAGGTTTACAGTTGTGAGTACATAAAACACAGGATTTATTATAGCAAGTGCCCTACAAGGTTGTGTAAATAATGAAGGCCAGCAGTTTGGGCACTTGTCATGAGATTGTACTTAGGTACACTGTGTCATTACGACATTCTTGAGCTAATAAAGCTATTGTAATAATCATAACTGTATGTCTTTTTCCATGTAAACAACCTTTGCCCACCCCTGTGTGAGTGTGTGTGGATCCTCTCAAAAATGGGAATGAGTTCTTCACCATTCGGTCAGGGCAGCATCGTAACCGCTCCCGTTCATACCGGGGCAAAAGGTGGAAGACACCAGCCTGCTACCTCGTCTTCAGGCTTCTTCTGAGGCAGGTCTATTTTAGAAGGTCGAGGAGCTAGAGATGGATTTCAGGAAAATTGCCTGTGCCTGTGCATCTTTGGAAAAATCTTAAACCTTGGCAAACACTGCCCCAGGTTGAAAACCATGGCTGAAGAACCCTGCAGGTCGGACTTTGCTGCTTCCCTGCGTTCCTGTGGAGCACGGGCCTTCTCTCCACAGTAGGGGCTTCCCCAGTGGAAGAACAGGGAAAAATGGAGAAGCTGGCATTACCCCTCCAGCAGCTACAAGCTTTGATTTCCTTTCCCCCTCCCAGTTCCAGCTCTGGCCTCCCACACTCCTCTCTCCTTGAACCCTTATTTTCCCATCCCACCAAATTCCCTGTGTATTAGAATAAGCTGTTGCTGAATATTCGGGGCCTCAGTGCAACTCATGGCTCAAGAGTGAGGGTCAGCCAGGCTGTTGTGGCTCGGTGGGTTGGGCATTGGCTGGAAAACCAAAAGGCCACCAGTTCAATTCCTGGTCAGGGCACATGTCTGGATTGTAGTTCATTCTCCAGTCGGAGCACATACAGAAGGCAAGCTGATTAGTGTTCTCTCTCGAATCAATGTTTCCCTCCCTCTCTCTCTCTCCCTTCCCCTCTCTAAAACAAAAAATTTTAAAAATACAAATAAAGACCTGGCTGGCGTAGCTCAGTGGATTTGAGCTCGGGCTGCGAACCAAAGTATCGCACGCAGGTTCGATTCCCAGCCAGGGCACATGCCTGGGTTGCAGACCATGGCCCCCAGCAACTGCACATTGATGTTTCTCTCTCTCTCCCTCCCTTCCCTCTCTAAAAATAAATAAATAAAATCTTAAAAATAAATGAATAAAAAGAAAAAGACCAAGAATCATGGCCTCTCTCTCACAGAATTGCAGTAAGGACTACCTGGGACAGACTGTGTATCCAGAAGGTGAGTTTGAGTCTGAGTCTGAGTCTGAGTCTGGGCCAGGAGGTACCCAGACGGTGACTTGGGCTCTTCAGACCTTTGTGGAGCTGGAGGGAAGGAGCTGCTGGCCCAGGGCTGACAGCCCTGCTGAGATCCAGGAGTTTTACTTCTTCGTTGCTCTGCCAGGGGCCTCGAGAAAGACCACCAAGCTTGAGGAGGTTCCAAGGAGTGTAAAGATTTTAATGAGCATCACAAAGGGACTGTGTGAGGGGGATACAAATTTCAAATCCAGCCTTTATTGCCATGCTTCAGGGGCTGAGTAGGAGGGAGGGGGCTCAACCCTGCTTATCTCTTCCCAGACCCAGAGGCAGCTGGAAGGCAGTCCCTGGAAGTCTTTCCCCAGCAGAGGGGGTGCGGGGAAGGAAGGGGAGAGGTCTCTGCTGCTGACACCAGGAGCAGGAAGACCTGGAGCAGCGAGCTGACCTCCAGAGGTCAGGAGAGACCTAAAATCAGGCAGGAATATTAGATGTTGGAAGGGTAGGTGGACTGAGGAAATTCTTGGGGTCCCCAAACAGCACTGGGATCTCAGAGGGCCCAGGCCCCCAGGGTCTGCTGGCTCCAGGGACTGGGACCCTGAGGGAGGCGACCCCAGACTGAGATGCTCACAGAGGCCCTAACATCATCCCCTCCCCCTGCTCGGCAAGGGTCTGGAGAGGATCTGGAGGGAGAAGTGAGGATGGGGCCTGGGTGGGCAGGAGGCTAGGAAGAGTGTGAGGGCCGGGCGTGCAGGCAGTGCTGTGAGGGGACGGTGGGGTCCTTTAGCTGCTGCTCTGCTGCTCCTGCTCACGGATGAGGTTGGCAATGGGGCTGGTGATGCCGCCTATCAAGGTCCAGTACTCATCGAAGCTGATGCGTCCATCATGGTTGGCATCCAGGTTCTGGATGAGCTTGTCCGCAGCCTTACGGTTCCCCGTGTCCTGGGGAGAAAGGGGGTCAGCACTGCTGAGAGTGGCAGTCTCACAGGACCCCGGGCAGGGCCCAAGGCAAAGGCCAGGATCTGGCCTGGGCAGCTGCTGCCCTTGGCAAACAGGAACAGAGCCCTCACTGGCTCAGGCCTGGGTACCCCAAGAGGACAGAGGCTTGGGTGGGGTCGAGACCCTGGCTCAGAGGGTAACTCAGAAAGAACAGAGGCGACACCCTGAGAGGACAGGGCTTTGGGGGCTGGAGAGAAAAAAGGCCCTTGGGTGGGGGCCTTACCGTCAGCATGTGATTCAGCTCTTTCTGAAGCATCTTTCGGAAGCTGCTCTTGCTGATCTTGTTCTTGACTAGACTGTGCTTAGACACATACTTGTAAAAGTTTTCCACCAGAACCACAACCGCCTTCTCCAGCTCCGTGTAGCAGTCCGCCATCTCACTGCCTCACTCCTCGAGCGTCCTGGGCACCGTGAGAAGTGCAGATGAGAAGAAACCCCACCGGTCAGACCTCCTCCCACACCCACGCTGGGCCCTGGGTCCTCCAGGCTGGCAGGTCCCCCGGGAGGAGGAGACAAGGAAAGGGGGGCACAGGATAGCCCTGGAATGAGAACTATGTGGCTCTTCTAATCCAGGTGTTCCCCAGCTCAACTGCCTTAACAGGTTCTCCGGGCCCTTCCCCAGCCCCAGGCACTGGGCTTGTCAGAATTCCAGTGAGAGCAAGAGTCTGCCGTGGGAAGAGGAGAGTGAATGCCCATCGCTCTGCCCTCTGTGCACCTGGCCAATCCAGGCCCCCTGCCCTAGGTGCAAACACCACTAGGAACTGCTAGGATGAGCCAAGAGGGCTGAGGGGTAGAGGGCAGGAGCCATGTTCTCTCACCAAGACACCAAGACTGTCTGAGACCCCAGCCCCAGGCAACAAAGCAGGAGGCAGGGACCTAGGCTCTCCCCAGTCCCTTCAGCCAGGCTCCAAGACAGTGACTCCGGAGTCTCAGGCCATGGCCGCTCCTGGGAAAGGACAATGTCCTGATTCACTGAGGGAGACATTCAGCAGACTCCCAGCCACACCCCGCTGGCCTAGCCTCCCTCAAACCCACCCCGCAATATACAGCAAGACCCAAGGACCCGGCACCACATTACCTAAAGAGGAGCCAGGCCGGGTCTGCCCCAGCTGGAGACAGAGCCGCAGCCAGCCAGAGGCCACAGTCACCCCCTCACCCTAGGACAAAAGACACTCACATTCCCAGCGATTACAGCCTTCTGAATAACAGGATATGAAGGGAACAGGCGGATCTACTCTGAGTCGCCGCCCATGCCCAGTGCCCCCCCAAGTGAACCGGGCAAATGAGCCTCCCCTCACGCCCCTAAGCCCAAGAATGAGCTACAGCCACCCTGCCCATCAGGTCCTGGCTAGGGAAGGTAAGCACAACCACTGTAGAGTCTGGGCATCCACAGTTTCAGTCCCTGCCCTTGCCACCTGCTCTCTAATCCCCTTGGGGCCCTCTTCCTCTGTGCCCTCATCACTCAGCTGAAGCCTGCTGGAGCCGCACCTCCCACAGGAAGGCTGCCCGGACCCCGACCCTCCACGCCCTTCTTCTTCCCCTGGCTCCTACAAACTCAGTCAGCGCAGTCCAGCGCTAACCGGTGTGGCTGCAGCCTTTCTGGGTCTTGTCTCCCCAGACACCAGCTATTACTAGAAGAAAGGAAAGTGTTTCTGACACACAGCCACTGTGTTTTCTGAACCACACAGAAAGATGAGGCTTTGGAACCATTTTTTCTAGTCCTCGATAGACTACCTCCCTGCTTTTTGAATCTCTGCACCTGGCCTAGCCTGTATCGCTCAGCCCGGTGCTTTGCTCAAGGAAGTTGGAATATAAATGCCCTACTTTCTTCCAGCCCTGACACCAAGTATGCAAAGCCCCTGACCACCCTTCTAAGGTTGTTTGTTTGTTTTTTTGCCACGTTTTTTTCAGAAGGAAGAATGAGACTAGTCCAGGATACAGGAAGGAGAGAGAGTTGAGAGGGTGAGGGAACAGGCTTCATCATCTCTGAACAGGAATCCTGTCCTTCCCTCCCCTGGTCTGTGGCCAAAAGGATGAAGTATGAAACCAGCACTGCAGGATTCTAAAAGTTGTACCCATTTCAGCAAGGACTGTGCCCAGGCTACTCCCAACCAAGCTTTGTGAGTGGCAAGAGAGTTCAGAGAACACCCCCACCCTTACTCATCCCAGACCTTGATCCCTGCATGAGGGATTTGGTGGGAAATAGGAGGAGGAAAGGGAAAGAAATCTGTTTGGAAGGGTGATAGGTCTTGCCCCTTTCCCCAAAGTCCACCCACCACCTGCCTTCCTGGAGCCTATTCCTCTGACCAGAGGAACCCCCACTCTTCCTTGTTAGCAATCCCCAAACCCTACCAAACTTCTGGCAGCCAAGTAGGCAGGACCCAGGTGAGCACCTAGGAGGTAATCATCCACCTGCTATCAGGTGTTCAGATCAGCCCAGAGAGGTAGCTTCAGCAGTGCCCAGGCCTCCCAATGGTCGGCCCCACCCCTGCACCTTGTAGCCAGATGGACACTGCTGGAGACACATCTGGGCAAATGCCTCTCTGAAGGAAGAATGTCAGAGTGAGATAGTCAGATGACCCTACCCTCTTCCGCCCTCCCTCCCTCCCTCCCCTGGGGGCCAGGAGACAGGCTCTGCCACTACACTGATGTCATAGCCACCTGCTCCTCCTGCCTGTCCCATCCTCCCACCACCCAGGCTGGATGGTCCCAGGCACGGGACTGGGGCGAGGTGGGCGGTAGGCGGCGTATTGTCCTGCACTGACTTGAGAGTCGGTAGACATGTACATCAGAGCCCCCCCAAAAAATGGGGAGACCACTGGTTCCCCCAAGGGCCCTCTCACCTGGGGCCCTCACCCCTCTAAAAATATTCTCATTGTCTTCTCCTTGGCTGATTCATCACTGAGCAACCAGGAGGCCCCGTCCCCACTCTGCTCACCTGACTGAGCTCAGCTTGATGACTTGATGACTTCTCCAAAAGCCCAAATGGCCTGACACCATGCTCCTGGGTTTCAGCCACCCCAGCCCCACCCTCCCACACCAGCCCCAGTTCTGGGCCCCACCCCTCCAAGTGCCTGCTAATCATCCCCCATCTCTTCATCTCTCTAGTCCCCTTCGATCTGCAGCCCAAACATCCACACACTCTCCAAAATTCACCCTCCTCTCCCACCTCCATAAACACTTCTTGAGCCTTGAACTGTTTCCAAGTGTTGGGATATGTCCCTGGACTCCCATCCCTCCTAGTCACCTTCCTTGGACAGCCTAGCCCACTCTCAAGCCTAAATCGGGCAGGCTCTGTGTTCCTTCCAACTACTTCAAATTTTTTCATTCATTTATTCACCATTCATTTGCTTATTCATTCATTGATTCATGAATTCATTTATTGACTCATTCATTCATTCTCACTCACTCACTCACTCATGCATTTCCTTAATTCACTTCAATATACAGGGAAGGTGTAACCTGAAGTGCTCTGGTAATGCTTTCCTCAATTTCCAGGGCTGTTTCACACTAACCTCTTCAGCCTCGATATCCCCACTTTCTGCTCCATGTTCTCATGGTCTTTTCCCAGTTCCAGAGGCTACTACCTCACACAAGCGTCCTGCCTCGCCCTCCCCCACATCACAGGACTCACTGCATTTAATTCACACATACATATATACACAGAGTGAGGGTTCTGCCATTCCTGATCCCCTCTGCTTGGGTAACTCATCTACCTTCTACCCACTTGTGTTTTTGGAGAATGTAGCCAGAAGAAGAAGCCAGCTCCTCTGAATGTTTTTCTAGAAAAGTGAAGTTGGAGGAGTTTTTGGTGGACACACACATGCACACACACCACGGCCACCCCCGGCCTCGCCAACACCCAGAGAGCTCTTCACTTGTGGATGGGGAAAGGCTGAGCCGACGCATCAGAACGTCCAGTGCTCCCTCCCTCAGCTCCCCTGCCCTCGCCCCCACAAAGCCTCACCACCACCCGGACAGGACTGGGCAAGGGAATGCTCCCATAGTGCAAGTGGATCCACCAAACAAAGCCAGTCAAGCCAGGACCTGCCTGGGTCCTGAGGTGAATGAGAAGCTGCCCAGACTTCTGGCCCCTCTCCCGGAGCTCCCAAGCTCCCCTGGGATGTCACCCAGGTTCCTCCAGGTTCCATACGCCCTCCCAAGGACCCACTCTCAGAGCACAATGACACCTACGTCCAGGGACTTTCCTGAGTCCTGAGGTGGAGAGAAGCCACCTCAGCACCCCTCAGGCTCTCAGGCTTCCTGGACCCCAACACCTCTCCCAGAACACAGCTCCCAGAGGCCAGTGAGGCCTGTGTCCAGGGTCTGACCCCCCCTCCAAACCCCACCAGCAGGCATTTGCCCTTTTTCTGTTAGGGGAGGATCAGAGCAGCTGTGGCCAAAGCTTCCAGACACCCTGCCCAGTGGCCCAGCCCCTGGAGAGGAGCCCAGACAGCTGCTGGGCTGGGGAGGGGTCTCACCACCCCTCCACTCCTCTGAAGGCCTCTCCAGTCCCCAATCGCACCAGAATTCTCCTTTTGCAAACCAGCCTTTTGGAAAAGTTAATCATGAACGAAACCTCCCCCGCCCAGTCACTGGCAGGCCCCCCTCCCCAGGACCTTTTCACTGCCCCTTCTCCTGGCCCCCCAAGCCTGTGGGGCCTCTGGGGTAGCCCCAGACCTCCCAGGACGGTCCTGGAGTACTCACCTGCCTCCTGGGTTCACCTCCTCTCCAGCAAGGCTCTGAGGCCTGGGCTCTGGCACAGCCAAGCAGCAACCCTCGCTCAGCCCAGCCAGGACTCCTCCCCGCCGCACTCCCAGAACGTGTCCCACTCCCTCCTTCCCTGCCTGGCTGAGCTGGCTCAGTGGGGAGGTAGTGACTGAACTCCCTTTCACTTGGCCCTGGGATTGGGCCCTCGTTAAAGGGATACACACCTTTTTTAACACCCCTCCGCCCCCACCCCAGTAGGAGTGGTGGAAGCTGGCACTCCCCCAACCCCACCCTCCTAGACCCGCAGGGCCTGACAGAATTTACCAGGCGGAAAAAGGAAGGGAAGGACTGTCACCTGCCCTTCTCACCTGGGTCACTGGGAGCTCAGTTTCAGGGGCCCCAAACAGACAAGGTCAGTTAGCATTACAGGCCGGCTTGGCTAGCCACAGAAATTTCCTTGCTCTTGGGATTTCAGGGGTTATGCTTGATTTTTGTGTGTTCAAGTCAGAAGGCAGATACTGGGGACCAGGCTCTGACCGCTGCCCCCCGGGTTCTAGCTCCAGGAGCTAGAACTACCAGGAGCTCTCCTGACCCCCACCCCTGGGACCTCTCAAGTGCAGCAGAGGATTCCTCTGGAAACACCCTCTAGCTCTTCCCCAAACTGACCAAGGAAACTGGCCAGGTCCACATCCGCCTGGGGAGGCAGAGCTGAAGCCAGAGGGGACCCATTCACCAACTCCGACAGTTGCGACTTCACCTCACCAGGTACCCACTGTGTCAGGCTCTCCGCTAAGGACATGAAGCCTTGAGTTAGCCTCCTAACCATCCCATGAGGGAAGAACTATTAATATCCCAATTTTAGAGATGAGGAAACTGATACCGAGAGCATGCCCACCGTTCCAAAGGTTCACACCCAGGCTACCAGCCTCACATTTCCCTTGCTCATCAGCCAGGCTCCAGCACCCCTGGGTTCATAACCCCAGGTGTGCACTGGTGCCTTCCCCTCCAATCAGAGGACCGGCCCACAGGCAAAGAGGAGCTCGTCCCTCACAGAGGACCAGGCTGCCCACCTTTTGGGCCCGAATCCGTGAGGTGAAGTGGGTCTGCGTTCACTTCCCTGACGACCGCTGCAACGCCATGTGTGCCCCCCGCCCGAAGCTTCTGCCCTGCACTCTGACCACCCCTCACCCACGGCTTGCCCAGCGGGCCTGGAGGGAGGGTGTCCAGTCAAGACATCTTTCACTTTTTCCATTTTTTATTAATCAAATGATACAAAATAACCATCATTCTTTAAATACCCAAGCACCCAGCTGGTCCTCTCACTCTGAAGGTCGCACCCTCCTTAGCCTGTCCCCCACCCTGCTCTCCCACTTCCCCTGCCCTAGCCCAAGGACAGTCCTGGGAGGAGGCAGGGGCAGAGCTGGAGGCAGGAACAGATTGCATTGGACGGACAGCTAATTTGGGCTGGGGATAGATTAGGAGAGGCAGGTTCTTGGAGACCATTTTTAATACAAAATATCCAGCTCTATTTTCAGCCCCTTCCAAGTCATTTCCCCTAGCCCAGCTCCTCTCTGCCTTGCACCCACTACCTAAAGGGGTGGCCCTTACACCATCCCTACCCCTCCACGTCCATCCCTGGCCCCAACCTGACCCGTGAGCCTCCCTCTGGTGGGGATTCCTGGACCCTTCCTGGACCCATTAGCTCCATCCATGGAGCCCCCAGGGATGAAGTGCAGAGAGCCCCAGGATGGACTATAATGAACCTGAACCTTGCAGAGGTGAGACAGGTGCAAGCTGGGGAACAGTGTGGTGATGGTAGAGAGGAGTTTTATTTCCGTGCCCAAAGTCTCTAGGCTCCCCCTTCCCCAACATCCCCCCCACAACGAATCCCAGGGTAAGGTTCTCAGCTCCCGGGGACAGGGCTCCCCAGCTTCACGCTCTTGGCTGCTTCTCCAATCAGCTCCCAGAAACTCCCAAATTTTAGTTTAGAGTCGTTACAGCTGCCCAGGTTGGCGATTCTCTCTTCCAGTCCACAGTTGCTCTGAAGGGAGGAAAGACACCACAGCTCAGGGAGGCAGCGCCTTCCAAATCTTCCCACCCCGCCCTGCCCAGGGGCCGGAAGCAGGGCCTGAGCCTACCTGGTTCTGGCAAGGGGGAAGGGCTAGGGGTTGCTAGTGCCAAGGGCTATGGCTGTGTGGGTGGGGCCTTGAAGCACTTGCTTGGGAAATCAGGGTTCTGCCTGGTGTGGGGTCACCCCCTCAGTACCGGCATGAGGTGAGGCAGCTGCTGGGTCACCAGGTCATGTAGTTCAGAGGGGGTCAGCGTCTCCTTTCCGCCCTCCACCGAGTACTGGTGGAAGTTCTTGATGAGGGTCTCAATGGCCCTTTCCACGTCACTCAATTCCTGGGCATCCTGAGGGGAAGGGACGTCACCCACATCAGGGAGTTTCTACCCCACCCTACCACACCCTGCTTTCCCCAGGAACCTAGCCAGGCCAACAGGGCAGAAGACAGCTGGGAGGCACACAGGCTCCCTCCCACTCCAGAGCCCAGCATCCAGCCCTCCTCACCCCCACTGGCCTCTGCCCTGAGCTACAGGTTGGACAAGGCTTCCTTCCCCACACCCCAGCCCCTCCTCCCCAGGCAGGGCAGGTCTCAGCACATGGCCCAGGCATCCTCTTCCTGGGAGGCCTCCATCTGCATCACCCTGTGTGGGCACCAGAAAGGGGGTTGTGGGCACCAGAAAGGGGGCGGGGGTCTGGTCTTATAGGCAGAGTCTGGAGGGTAGGCCAAGGCCAAGATGAGGGAGAAGTCCATGGGGGAACACAGACCCACAGAGGAGAGGAGAAGAGTGTGAGAATAGAAAGACAGGCCAGGAATGAATGGGCCCACCTCAGCATTGGCTGACCGACACTGGCCCATGGTGCCTGGTGTGCTTGGTCCTTTGGTGAGAGTTGAGTCGTCCTACTGCCTGCCCAGGAGGAGCTGATGGTTCATGATCTGCCTAGAGGAGTGGGGAGGTCGAGGAGGGCAGATCCCAGGATTTCTTTTTCCACGAGCCCCTTTGGCTCCACCCCAGATATTCTGAAACCCAGGCTCCAGGAGCTAAGGTCACCACCCCCAAGCCAACCCATTTAGAGAGAATCCCTTAGGCCTCACCTTAGCTTCATTCCTTCCTCCTCCTCCAAATACCCATTCAGTTCCATGCACACACACCAGCCTCCAGTGCCCGCCCTCCAGCCCTTTCCCTGGTAGTCTAGGGTAGGAGAAGCTAATCATGCCCTTTGGACAGGGGGAAGCCCATTTTGGGCGAAAAGCCCTTGGTAGCCTTACCTGCTGACAGCCTCTGAGACAGGACAGGATGAGCCAGCTCACCTGAGCTCAGCTCTTATACCTGGGGGAAGGGAGGGGAGGCAGGGGCTGGGCCTCTTCCCTAAGCCACCTCTGCTATTTCGGCTGCTTGGGTGGTGAGACAGTTGTGGGCCACACCCTCCATTGGCCAGAGCTCCAGAGCCTGCTGCCATCCCTGCCAAGAGGAGGGAGCCATGGAAGGCCAGGTCTGAGGTGTCCCTGGCCCCAGACCAGGAGACAGAGTCCTGAGAAAAGATAGGGGAGGAAAGGTAGGGAAGGGAGAGGGGGAAGGTGTGGCAACACTCTAGGGTCGACCTGGGGAGGACAGGCCTGGCTGGAGGAATTGTAGGGCAAGGAAATGGAGGGGCCCTGAGGTAAGAGCCGGGAGAAGCAGATGCTGATCAAGGCAGGGTTCGTGGTACAGAGTAAATGAGGGACACGTGGGTTGAGAGAGGTTGTCAGGGACCCCTCTGTTCTTTGATGTCATACACACACACACTCTCACCTGGACCACTGTGGTCAGTGACACTCAAGCCTGCCCAGACCCCATAGCCCAGTCTTCCTCAGTACGGATGGCAGAGAGATGAATGAGGACCAGATCAGGAAGGAGCCAGAGAGAGGCAGCCTGGTAGAGGGGCCAGACTGGCTGCTGTCCTGACTTCCCTTCAGCTCCCCTCAACCAGTGTGCACATGTGCAAGGCCCAAATGAGTTATCTGGCAGCTAATGACCTCTCCAAACTGGTTGGGCTGCCTGCTGCTCCCTCTCTCAGAGCCCCGAGCCTTCCCTGACCCAGCCACTCCACAGCAACAACACACACACAAACACACAGGCCACTACGGAGGATGTCATCTCAGGGAGCAGGCCCAGGGGCTCAGCTCTCCTCGCCTGATGGGGAGGAGGAAGGGAGAAGGGCAGAGGGTCAGGGCAAGAATGGGGTGGGGCCCAGAGTCAAAGCTCCTGGGTTCCTTTCCTAAACCCTGAGCTCAGAGCATACCTGATGAAAAAAATAATAAAACAGCCATTTTATTTTCACTTATTTTTTTAAAAATTCTTATTATAAAAATTTGTATTTATTATATTTATTTTTAAAGGATCCACTTTAAAGTGAAGTCCAGCCCTGGCTGGTGTACCTCAGTGGATTGAGCACAGGCCTGCAAACGAAAGGGTCGACAGTTTTGCTTCCCAGTCAGGGCACAGGCCTGGGTTTCAGGCTAGGTCCCCAGTAGGGGGCACTCGAGAGACAACCTCACGTTGTTGTTTCCCTCTCTTTCTCCTTCCCTTCCCCTCTCTCTATAAATAAATAAATAAAGAAAGAAAGAAAGAAAGAAAAATAATTTAAAAATGGAGTTCAAGGTGCCACCTCAGAGGAACTGCCTTATTTATCTCACCCTTCAAACACCTTTGGAATGTTAAAACTGGACAAATAACCTTTCGAATGGACCTAAAGCATTGTAATCCATAATCCAAACGACTGTTTGCAGAGATAACAAGAAAGCAGGCTGAAATTAAAGACATTCCCAAGAATTAGCATCATTATGTTAGTTTATCTGCACTTACAGAAATTCCTTCCTTAGTCTATTAACACCATTAAAAAAACCTCTTAGCCCTGGCTGGTGTGGCTCAGTGGACTGACTGCCGGCCTGTGAACCAAAAGGTTGCTTGTTCAGTTCCCAGTCAAGAACACATGCCTGTGCTATGGGCCAGGTCCCCAGTAGAGGGCACACAAGAAGCAACCACACATCGATGTTTCTCTCTCTTTTTCCCTCCCTCCCCCTGTATCTAAAAATAAATAAATAAATAAATAAATAAAATCTTTAAAAATAAAAAAATTTTCAATCTCTCCACCTGTAATTATTCCCTTTCTCTTTCTCATAAATACTCCCCTTGACCCCAAGTGGAACACTATTTGAGTTTCTGCCTAAATCAGCGCTTCCAGAATATTTATTCTTTTGGATCTCAAATAAATGTTTGTTGTCTCACTTTGTCCTTTTATTTATTTTTTTAAAGTAACAACTTTTCTTTTCTTTTCTTTAGATTTTATTTATTTTTAGAGAGGGAAGGGAGGGAGATAGAGAGAAACATCAATGTGCGGTTGCTGGGGGTCATGGCCTGCAACCCAGGCATGTACCCTTGTTACAGAACAAACAAGGGGGGCCTGGGACAATATATGATTACTGAAAGAAGGCCCCGGGTCCATTATGTCCGCCGCCCTAGGAAAGACATCTCTCAATGCCAGAGATTCATGAAAAGGAAAGGAAATGTTTATTTAATGCTATACAGACTTCAAGTAGTGACCTAATGTCTTTATCAAAAATCCTAAAGTCCCTTAAAACACCCACAAACACACAGTCCTTCCTTCCTTCCCCCTTTGCCCAGTCCAGAGTACCATATCTCAGGAAAGGAAATAGAAGTCCATGGCTCAGGCAGTCCTCTGGTTCTTCCCAGTTAGTCCTCCATCTCAACTGGGAGACCTCCCTGGGTTCCCGGCACCCTCAGCTGAGTCGCCGGTATCTCTGCTCAAACCAGGTGGTGGTTCCCCTTCTAAAGCTGCGGGGTCCCCACTCTGTCAAGGCCACGTGGTTCTCCTCCTCAGGGCTGCGGGAAGGGGAGAGTCCCCACTCTGCCAAAGCCGCGTGGTTCTCCCTCAATGGCTGCCGTGTCTGGGTTTAAATCCCCTGCGCCAATCTTCTTCTGCAGCCCCATTTCCGACTCCTCCTACACTTGGGCACACTTGCCCTCAATCTGCTGTCTTCTCCAGCTTTTCTCGTCGCCATCGTGGGTCTGGGCAGGTGTCACCCCATGTCATGGAGCCAATCTTCTCCCAGCTCCCACGCAGGTGCTGTAACTCAGGGGACCTGCCCCCCAGTCACATCTTGAGGGGGGAGATCCCTTTCCATCCCCCTGGCCTTGAGCATGGCCATAGCTATTTAGCATATCTAAGTGACCAGCCAAAGGCTATAGGTATGCTAAATGACCATGCCATGGATTAGCTGCAAAGCTGCCCTGCATGTTCTTGCTCTGTGTGCCCTTTCCCCCAACTCACACCTGTGGGGGAAGGGGTGAAGACACCTTAAAATCTCCTGGACACCTTAAGTTCTGGACCCCATTTCAAATGCCTATTTGGGGTCCCCCCTCTTGGCTGCACCCTATAACACCCTGACTGGGAATCAAACCTGTGACACTTTGGTTCACAGTCCTCACTCAATCCACTGAGCTATGCCAGCCAGAGATGTCCTTTTATTTTTAGGAGACCAAGCCTGAGGCCCCTCCAAGGCCCCTTTTAGGGCTCTCCTGTACTTGTGGCCTCAATAAGAGGGATCTGTTAGAGTCTCAATGAGGCCTTTTCGAGAGTATCATTTCTGAGGGCTCATCTGGGAGGTCTCAAACTGGGAACGCTCTGGACGTCTCTCAATCCTCGGGCTTCTCCAAAAGTGCCTCAACCTGGGTCCCTCTGAGGGATCTGTCTGGGGATCCCTCCAAGGGTCTCTCACTGTGGGAGATCCCCTCAGTGTAGGAACCCCTCAGTGTGGGTACCTCTCTGGAATATCTCAGACAAATGGCCCCTGGGAGTCTCAGTCTGAGGGCCCCTCTCAGTCTGGGAACACTTAGATAGAAGGTCTCAATCTAGGACCCTTTCATAGTATAGAGAGGGAGCTTACATGTTCCTCTGGACTAAGAACTGCCCCAGATAGACACCTGAGGGTATGCAGTATCAACCCCAGAAGGTGGTACCCATTAGGCTGCCCCACCCCTGCTCCCTCTGGTGGCAGGCAGAGCAAGCCACATACCCCTTAAGCCAAGGACAGGGAGAGGGGCACCATGGCACTCTGAAGTTCTGCTTCCTGCAGGACCTCCACCACCCTGACCCCACAGTCCTCGAACCAGGACCTCGTCTTCATCCTTCTGCATCACCCCTGCTCTCGAGGGGGCGGGGAGGGAAGGAAGGGCCAGTGTTCTAGAGCACCCATCAGAGGCTCTGGAATTCCAACCCAGTTCCACCTGATCTTGTCTTTGTGACTTAACCTCTCTCAAATCTGTTTCTTCCTCTTTAATATGGCACTTAAAAAATAGAACCTACTTCAAAGGGCTGTGAGAACTAACTAAGATAATGCAAGAAATAGCAAGCCTTCGACATATGTTCCCAGCTTTCATTATCATTCAAATCCTAGGAATAAGACACAAACCCTAGGAATAAGAAAAATGGGAGCCGAGCACACACCCCTGAGCCCTAGGAGGCACCTGGTAGGATATGAGTTACCTCGCCTGTTCCAGGAGGTCTGTCTGTCTTTCATATAGTCATTCACCAACCGTTTACTTACCAAGCAACCTCCCCTGAGCACAAGATCTAGGTGTCAGATGCTGCATAATGTTCAAAGACAAATAACATTCCTTGTCCTCGAGGAGCTCATAATTTTTAGACCCACCCTCAGGTCAGGGCAGAGCTTTCCCACCCCTCAGTCTCAAGAGAAGAAATCAGGGTAGGTGTGAATAAAAAACATTCATGTTTTAAGGAGGAAGTTTTATTTGGGGGAATGGGGTTCTGTGTGGTCCTGCCCTGCCCTGCCCACCCCCCACCCAGCATCCTGGCCAGCAAGTTTTACTTCTTCCGGATCTCCAGGGCCTTCTCTTTCCTGATCTCCTTGGCCAACTCCCCAATCAGCCTCCAGTACTCATTGAACTTGAGCTCTGAGTCCTGATTCACATCCAAGCTCTTCATCTTGTCATCTAAAGAGCCCACATCCTGAGGAGACACCAAAGGGAAGGGTGGGGTTAGAAATGAGGGCTGTCCAGACTGGGAGGGGGAAGAACTGCTAATTGTCATTCCCTTCCCTCAGGGACCATGAGGACCTGCCCCACACCTTTAGGAGGAGGCTGCAGCCCGAAGACAGAGCTGTCGCGGTGCCCAACTTCAAGGGGCAGCAGCACAGGGAGGTGGAGAACTTGATTCACAGCACTCGCTGTGGAACAAATACTCCCACCACAGCAGATTATGAACCACAAATGTCACTGAATGCAGAGCTGGGAAGAGGTGCACACAGTGGGCCTTCAGCTGCAGGAGCAGGTAGGTTCCAGCACAAGACAGCACCAGCCCTGGGATTTGTCCAAGGACCTCCAGGGAGCCCTTGTAGACACAGACCTACTCTGACCACCCTCAGATCCTACTTGGGCCACCCTCCTGCTTCAGAAAGCTGGAGAAGTTCACACTTGGCTGTTCATTTGCATAAACCTGATGTCTTCTCATTTTTCCATTTAAGTCACTAGCCTGGTAGATCAGGAGAATGGCAAAGACACGAGGTATTTGTTTTTCTAGGGAACCCTTGAAAAAGTCCCTCATGACAGGCCTGTGACATCAAAGGACACTGTAAGCTGGACCATCACTGTCACAAGATTTGTTGCCAGATAAACAGTCACAACCAAAACGTGGACTGTTGAACAACGCATCCATGTCAAACCAGAAAAGGGTGCCTCGAGCTGTTCCACGTTAACCATCTGAATCAACGTTTGGATGAAGGCAGAGAAGACTTGCCAAATCTATAGATGGCACAAAGTTAATCCATGGAAGAGCTACACAAGAGTTTTTAAAAAGCCACAGTCATAATTAATTGCATATAATACTATAAGTAATGCCAGCGGAAGGCTAAGGTGTCCAGTGTAACACTATATGGGGAGGAAGAGAAAACACAATTAGTCAAGACAAAGGAATAAAAAATATAGCAAGTGTTAGGAAAGAAGAGAAAAGTGCACCTCTTACTATATCAGCAATTATATGATTGCGTACCTAGGGGGAAAAAAGAATCATAATGGCTATATTCCAACAAGTGTAAGCACTTTACAGTGCTGACGGTTCCAAGCATTATGCTAAACACATTGCACTCTTTGACTTCATTTAATCTTCACAATCTACTGGAATGAAAGGCTCCATGAGCACAGGGACCTCGTCCCTCTGGCTCGCTGCTGTGATGCCAAGGCCTGGGAGACTGTCGGGCACACAGCAGGTGCCTGCTCACCACTGTAACCGAAAGCCCGGGACAGCGTCAAGACGGCACAGAGTACTAACTGAATATTTATTCAGGATTACATTTATATTGTAAATTCAGTATATTCAGTACTGACTGAATATTTATTCAGGATTATATTTATGCAGGACCAATCCAACAAAAAACATTATTATGAGTCCATTTCACAGATGAAAAATTAAGGCTCTGAAAGATTAAGTAACTAACCAGGGATGACATGACAGAACACACATTTGAACCTAGATTGTTTGACTTAGAGTTTATGCCCCTATCCACTATTCTGTGTTACTCACCGCCCCACAAAAAAAAAAACGATTAGAAAGGATAAAGTATTTGATTATAATATTAATATTCAAAAACCAATAACTTTTATGTATATAAATAGTAATCAATTAGAAACTATACTAAAAAAGATCGCATTTAAAATAGTAAAAAAGAAAATAAAGCACTTACCATAAATATAGAAATCTATCTGGCTTTTGTGAAGAAAACTGAACTGAAGGATATATGTGATATTGTGATTTATAAAAAATATACTTTTGGTCATTCAAATGCCCAACCAAAATATAACACTCATATGTATGTGGTCTTCCTCCACAGTCCCAAACTCACAACTCACAAAACTTTTGGAATTTCCTAAGGGTTGAGAGTGATAACGTCTTTTGATATGTAAATGAGGTGAGCCCCACCATACTGGAAATTGGGTCTCAGACGATGTATTTAATGTAAAAGAAAACTGGAGCCCTGGCAGAGTAGCTCAGTTGGTTGGAGTGTTGTCTGAATAGGCCAAAGGCTGCAGGTGTGATCCCCAGTCAGGACACATACAAAAATCAACCAACAAGCTCTGAATGGTGTGGCTCAGTGGGTAGGATGTCATCCCACAAACCAAAAGGTCACCAGTTCAATTCCCGGTCAGGGCACATGTCTGGGTTGTGGGCCAGGTTCCTGGATGGGGGTGAGCAAGAGGCAATCCATCAATGTTTCTCTACCCCCCTTTCCCCTCTCTTTAAAAATAAGTAAATAAAATTTTTTAAAGATTTTATGTATTTAGTTTTAGAAGGGAAGGGAGAGGGAGGGAGAGAAAATCAATGTGTGGTTGCCTCTTGCACACCCCCTACTACTAGGGACCTGGCCGGCAACCCAGGCATGTGCCCTGACTAGAAAATGAACCACTGACCCCTTGCTTTGCAGGTGGGGCACTCAGTCCACTGAGCCACACCAGCCAGGGCATAAATAAATGTTTTTAAAAAATCAACCAATGAATGCATAAATAAGTAGAACAATAAATCTATGTTTCTCTTTCTAGAATCAATAAATTTTTAAAAATTAATTTGAATAAATAAAAAACATACTTTAGAGAGAAAGGCTCAATAGTGTAAGATGTCAATATTCCCTAAAATATATATATGCATGATCCCAATTAATCTACAGGATTCTTTTTAACATGATTAAAAGTTACTAAAATTCTTCTTGAAAAATAAACATATGAGATCCACCAGTAAAATTCTGAAAAATAAGAGAGAAACAACCCTACAAGTTATTAAAGCATATTATAAAACTACAGTAAATGAACCCTGGCTGGTGAAGCTCAGTGGATTTAGTGTGGGCCTGTGAAACAAAGGGTTGCTGGTTCGATTCCCAGTCAGGGCACATACCTGGGTTACAGGCCAGGTCCCCAGTGGGGGTCAGGTGAGACGCAACCACACACCAATATTTCTCTCCCTCCCTTTCTCTTTCCCTTCCCCTCTCTTTAAAAATAAATAAATAAAATCTAATTAAAAAAAAAACTACAGTAAATGAGATTGTTACTAAATAATAAAATGATAAATGAAACAGAATAAAGACACCCAAAACACATGGGAATTGGATAAAAAATAAAGGTAGCATTTCACATCAGTAGGAAAATGTTAATAAAATAAAGTGTTTTTTAAAAGATTTTATTTAATTTATTTATTTTTAAAGATTTCATTTATTTATTTATTTTAAAGATTTTATTTATTTATTTTTAGAGAGGGAAGGGAGGGAGAAAGAGAGAGAGAGAGAAATATCAATGTGAGGTTGCTGGGGGCCATGGGCTGCAAACCCAGGTATGTGCCCTGACTGGGAATCAAACCTGCGATGCTTTGGCTCACATCCCGCGCTCAATCCTCTGAGCTATGCGATTTTTATTTATTTTTAAAGTGTGTTTTTTTTAATATGTTAAATTGGGGGAGATCTTTCTAAGCATAACAATAAAACACAGCAGCCATTCAGGAAAAGTTGGAGGACTTGACTACATAAAAACTTTTAATATTCTGTATGGCAAAAAACTACCCGAAATAAAGTCAAAGGACAAAGGGCAAATTAGGGGGAACACACAACACACATAATAGATAAGAGCTGATTTCTTCATTCTATAAAGAGCTAGAAAAAAATCAATGTGAAAAAAAAGAACTCTTTGATAAAAGAAATAAACAAGTGGCTCCCAGAAAAAGCAATATACATGTCCATGAAAAAGTTTTTTTAATGTTGTATTTTACTCAGAATTTTAAAAGTAGTATAAATCAGAAAAAGTACCATTTTCACCTATTAGATTGGCAAAAGTTAAAAGCTTGCTAACTTTTTCAGGGCTCCTCAGAGGTGGTCAGCTGCTTCAGGATGAAGTTGAACATCTCTTTCCCAGCCACTGGTTGCCAGAAACCCATTGAAGTGGAAATGAACACAAACTTTGTTCCATTTATGAGGCGTGTATGACCCAGAAGTTGCTGCTGATGCTCTGGGTGAAGAATGAAAGGGCTATGTCATTCAAATCAGTGGTGGAAAAAACAAACAAGGTCTCCCCAGGAGGCAGGGCGTCTTGCCCTGACCCTGTTCTCCTGCTACTGAGTAAGGGGAATTCCTGGCACAGACCAAAGATGACTGAAGAAGGCACAAAACTACTCAGGGTTGCATTGTGGAGACCAATCTCAGTGTTCTCAACTTGGCCGTTGTGAAAAAGGGGGAGGAAGATATTCCTGATCTCACTGATATTACTGTGACTCATCGACTGGAGTCCAAAAGAACTAGCAGAATTCACAAACTTTTCAGTCTCTAAAGAAGATTGATTACATCCGCCAATATGTTGTGAGAAAGCCCCTAAACAAAGGGAAGAAACACAGGGACAAAGCACCCAAGATTCAGTATCTTGTTACTGCGCATGGTCTCCAATACAAATGTCAGTGAATTGCTCTAAAGAAACAGGGTACTAAGAAAAATAAGGAGGAGGGAGCAGAATATGCTAAACTCTTGGCTAAGAGAGTGAAGGAAGCCAAAGAAAAATGCCAGGAACAGATAGATTGCCGAGAGACAAGAGTCCACCTTTGCGTACAGTCAAAAATGATCTGGCCCTGACTGATGCAGCTCGGTTGGTTGGACGTTGTCTGTCCTGCAAAGCAAAAGGACTGGTTTGATTCCCAGTCAAGGCACTACCTGGGTTGGGAGCTCGGTTCAGTTCAGTCCTTGGCCAGGGAGCCAATGAAAGCAGCAGATTGATGTTTCTCCCCATCTTTTCTCCCTCCCTCCCCCCTCTCTAAAAACTTAAATGTTTTTTAAAAATAATGCAGGTTCAATATCTGGTCAGGGAATGTACGGGAGGCAACCAATCAATGTTTCTCTCATAAAAGAATAAAGATGGCACCATTTGCAAAGCAGGCCTATGACCTTGTTAAACAGAACTGCCATTTTATTCTTCTAAGTTCATGTCCTT